AAAGGAAACCGATAAGTAAAGGAGAGGAAAAGAGCAATATAATCCGCACAATTCAGAAAGGATTTGAGCGAAACTCGCAGAACTTACACATGATACCAGAGAATCGTTTATATGTTCTCGGAATTCGTACATGTGGTTTGATTTCAAAAAGAACACCTTTTTCTGTTCTTACATAAACAGCTTGCAACCTCCCAGCCTTATTAACTGGACTGTCCAGAATCGTTAGTAGAGCCTGAAAATAAAAACAATGACATTGTTGGCAAACAAGGACAAGTTAACTACTACAATAAAATTAATGTGCCAATAGAAATACAATGCCTTTCCAGTTTTGAACAATCCTTTTTTCTCCAAAATACACTGCTAAGTAGTTTGCTCACAGAAAGAAGTTAGAACTTCCTGCAAACTTGTTGTCTCGTTACACAATAACATGAGACAAACCGACCATCTTCAGAACTTTAGATAAATTAATTATTTGCGGAATCAAAAATTAAAAAAAAAAAATAACTTATAGCATTTAACATCAATTTTGTTTGGTAGAAAGTTCACAGACCTGGTGAGTAATATCAGGGCGATAATCAGCAGGATTTTTTTTATTCTTCCGCAAGAAATTAGCATGGTCATCAGAGTTCAGAAGCTGATAAGTCTGTATGTACAAAAGCAAATTCAGTACTAAAATATCATTAGAGATAACTCAAAAAAAAAAAAGATCCAAGGATAAGAGGAACTTCTACAAGCTTCCAGTCTAAATAAGCTTTAATCCACATCCGCATGTACAGATATACACACAGGTAACATTACTGACGTGCAGAGACAATCATGCACACAAACACACCTTTCCAACTTTGGCAACTTCCAGGGAAGCCTTCTCGAGAACAAAAGTTACCCCAGCTTTTTTGGTTTTTTTATCACTTGGAGCAATGGGAATCCCCTCAAGCTCATCTACTGCTGCCTCGTCCTCCTCTTTTTCTTCACCATCATGATCAGTTGTTCCAGGTTTTTCCACCATAGCTCGCTTCCTCTTCAGCACTTCTTCTACTTGTTCTTCTTCCTCCTCATCCCTATCATACTTCTCCTCAGTCTTCCTTCGCTTGTTAACTTTTATCCCATAAGGCCGCACCATTTTCAATCTTACATAGATTAAATTCACATCAGACACCAAAAATTTCCTATCAAAAACTCAATCTTCGCAAACAATAAAAAAAGCTCAAACCATAGTAAAATTCATGGTGTATGGAATGAAATGAGATGTAAATGGCAATTAGAAGCATGAGAAAGAGAGAGCTGCAAAGGGTTTCCACAGATGTGGGTTTAGCGCTGTTAAGGAGCTAGAAGATAGTTTTTTCTTTAAAATCAACTTTAAGGTAAAGAGGACTATGATTTTATAAAATTATTAGGTGGATAATAAGTTTTTCGATTTAGTAAATTTTGCCACAAGCCTGGTGTCGCAACATGTCAACGGTTCAAAAAATAATCCCAAGTGAGAATGTGTGAGACAGCCACCCGGTGACATAACTTGAAAGATTTTTAGCTAAAAATCTTCAATTCTAAAACTTAAGTTAAACAATGACATAAAGAAGTACTGACGAAAAGGAAAAAGGAACTCGAAAAATGAAATAACCAAAGGTAAAGTTCCAAATTCAATTTGTCGCCCCAAGAATTCCAAAGTCAACAAATTAAGCTTCTTCAAGAGATGTAGTGTGTGCATGCATTGTGAACAAGCCTGTTTAATTACATTCAGCTTTGCCTTTGTAATCCTTCCTTTACATCAATCTAGATGACAAATCAAACATCAAAGATGCAATTTTGTTATTAAACGCACATCAAGTCAAGCATAATTCATTAAAAACGAACATCAAGGCAGAAATTTGAAGTGAAATTTTATTTTAAGCAACGTTAATGGTCCAGACACTCAAATAAATGTTTTTTTTTTTTGAAGTAAGACACTCAAATCAATGTTAACGACCATCATGCAAGGCTAAATATAAAATAAACCCCCAATCAGGTCTAAACAGTCCTATTTTGGCATAGGTACTGATATAGAGCAGAAAAATACATCGCAAGTACACCAGGGGGACAATACTGACTCCATTTATCTAGAAAATTTCAATAGAAAAAAGTACATCATACAAGCTCATTGCATGAAATTAAGATCAATCTAATCTTGAACGCTATGTTAACTCCTATCCCCTTTATTTTACTATAAACAACAATCATTATATATATAGAGTACCTATGATTTTCAAGCTCGTGCTCAGCCCCCTTTCCTCTTCGGCCTTCTCTCTAGTTCCTCTAGCGTAGAGGCTTCTGCTCTGAGCACAGAGGTTGTCGCGCGTGGCTTCTTTCTCTGTCACTCGCGTAATCTACCTCCTTGTTATCTTCGCGAGCCCCTTCACTCACTCTCGCCTCTCCTTCCTCAATCGTCCTTGCTCTTTGTCTCTTCTGCTCCACTGACTCTCTACTCTGCAATCTATCCTTTTATTTTGGGCCTTTGTCGCTCAGTAATCGGAAAGGAGCCCTAAAAGGAAAACTACCCAAAACGGTGGCGTTTTAGGCTAAACGATGATGGGCTGGCTAAAGTTTAAATGAGCCAATTGGATCGGGTTCCATTTAGCAACTGGGCTTAGCGTTGGGGCTAAGAACAAGTTACATTTAAATGTGGGTTTTGGGCTAATTGTATGATTATGACAATCACAATTAAATCAAAATTAACGTGGATAAAATTAGTATTCACAAGTTTTAGTAAAAACTTATTTTAGTTCTACGAACTTTATATATATAAATATATATTTGTTTTTCATTGCAATTTTTGTTTGGTTAACTTCTACTTAGTTTTTAATTTATAGTTATCTAATTATTTTAAAATATTACATGAAAATACGAATAGCGTAACAACTACAGTGTAATTATATACTGAGAGCAACTATAAATTTATGAAGGGAGTGAAGAACAATTATTTTTAAAAATTAAATATACATTAAAAAAATTTACAAATCGTATGATTTAAAAATTTCTTCTTGTGCATCAATTCTTTACCATCTTCAACATTCAAAATAACAACAAATTATTTTTGGTTCAATACTCAGTAAATTTTTTTTTACTACAGTTAGAATCTAAAACTTTGAGATAAAAAGTAAAAATTAGTCCACCCCATTGAACTTAATTCATATATGTATATATATATATTTATTTTGATGAGCTACTCATTATATAAAAGACATATTTAGAAACATTCAAAATTTTATTTTTATTTTGAAAAAAATTAAAAAAATATACCATTCAAACTAGACCCCAATACATAACTTTGTTCATACTTACCCAAACAGTAAAAAGCCCAGCCCGTGAATATTTTTACCGGAAAAAAAAAAAACAAATAAGCACAAACAATTTTATTTCATCCACTCGCTCTCTCTCCCAGGAATATTCGAACCTGGGACCGTTGGCTAAGTTAAGGGCTTAACCAGCAGAGCGCCGTGTGAGGATTCTCCCCTCTCTCTTTCTCGACTCTCAATTCTAAAATACGAAACAAACGCCTGAAGCCCGGCCTTGCTCCCGCCTCCGACTTTATCTCTTCCGTCCTCTGTGCTCTCGCCTGCCAGTCTCTTTCTGCTATTCCGATACTATCTTCAATAAACCGTGCGCCGCCGCTCTCGTCTCTGCAGCTCATCTAAAGTGAGTAGCTGTAATTTGCTTAGTTTTGTTAACCGAAAGAAGTTCTTACTTGTTAATTTCTTAATAGACTGCCACTTTTGGACTAATGCTTCATACTCGCTCGTTTTTTTAGTTATCATTCTCGAAAGATGAGTAGCCTAAAGGAACTAATAAATTTGAGCCAATTGGAGATTATATTTTTCATTGTTAAATATTTGCCTCGGACCTCGCCGCAGTAGGTTTTTTGGGCGGTGGTACTGTTGCAATAATATAGAAAGAGCTGCCTTCTTTATTTATATATTTTGAAGACTTAATTTGTTTATTTGTATGATAATTTGCAATACGGGTCACTGTTTCAGTAATAATAGGAAAAGATGGCGCACCAAGGAGAGCGATTGAAATCGACTTCCATAAACGGAGTGAAGATGTACCACGTTTCTTCTCAACCAAACGTCGCCACTTGGCTTCCTCCCAAGAAGCAACGAGCTCTCCGCAAAAATCCAAGTACGCGAGCTAATAATATCATGTCCTTCTTTAGTTTTGTTTACTGCTTAGAACTTGCAGCTTTAAGTATCTTAACTTTTTTTTTTTTGCCTGTTTCTATATATTTGAGTGCACATTAGTTCACCAACCATTACATTGAAGGGTATTTTCTGTCAGAAGTTTGTGTTATATGTGTCATGATTAGCAAGTTGTGTTATCATTATATTTGTAGATATTAACCAAGTAATAAACTGTATGAATTTCCATACAAAAAGTATGCATTACTTCCGTCCATCCAGTTATCTGACTGCTAAAATTTCACACTTGTTGGAAGAAGAAAAATTGTGGAATTATGCATAAGATTGAAACATGTTAGGGAAAAATAATTATCCATCAACATCTTTTAAGGGATTAATGGTTCATATTTGGTTTTTGGAATTGATGCTTAATTTATGGGGACTTTGAAATTCTGATATCAAGCTGGATATGCTTAGCTTCTTTGGTACTTCATATATATACACCTGTATTTATATATTTTCTCTTATTTCATTGCTTCTATGTTGAAATTTTTCTTCTGTGCTTGCTTTATACAAGATTATATGCAAAGGGTGGAGTTGATCCAGGACTTGAGGTTTGAAACTGCTACAACGAAAATCAAGGCAACTCCTGCCCGAGCAGTTATCATAGCGTCCGGGGTCTCTTCATTCCGCCTCATCCCCGCCTGCTGCAACTCCCTGAAGTACCCAAAAGCCCCGGATAATGAACCAAACTGCTTAGTTGCCACTGTTCTTACCTCCATCCTGAATTATAGGCATATATCCACCCCAAGTTATAGTCTTCGCCATTTCGGAACCCTCACCGAAAGTGAGAGGCATTTGGATTCCGACCTACGAGATCTTCAGGT